ACTCAATGTTTTCTACCTTTCAAAGGCTTTCCCTTTAAGAATTTCATTGTGGCCCACACGCAGTTTAAAACATGAGATGAAATCACAGCAGTCCTGCTATTCTAGTTACTCTCTCCAGGACGGTACTGTAAGTGGAAATACAAACAGGGCTTCAACTTCACACAGAAAGGAACCCTACACCAACACTGGAAAGGCGGAAGACACAATTAATAAAAGTTATAATTCTATCATAGCTTTATATATATTTGTTAAAATTTTAAAAAAGAAAAATCATTAATTTGCAATTCATAGCCTTTTCAATGAAGACTAAAATAGAAGAAAAATACATCTCCATCTTCAAGACAACTAAAATGGGAGTCATTTAAATTTTTTGTAAAATAATTACATGAGCACTGAGGGTAGTAACATTAAGACATAAAGCACACAAACACTTGAAAGTGAAAAACACAATAGCAAATAAGTCATTAACAAAATATAGGTTTATCCTCATGAGCTAATGAGCATCCCTCAAATTTGACAGAGCTCAAAGTACCCACCACCCCTAAGGAAAGAATAGGAAACACTCAGGATTTAGGTTTCTATGGCTCATTACAAAAAGATTTTGCTGGCAACAAGTGGTTTCTCAGGTCACGGAGACTTGACAGTTTGCAAGCAGATATGGAGGAAACTGCAGGTAGTTTGCTCCTGTGATTGAACACAGGAGAAACCCTGGCCTCAGCTTCACAAGGTATTCATCTTCATTAGTCATAACTTCACTTTTTTAATACACAGGGCATTCTTCAAAAAGGATCACTGTTATATTCAATATTACTGGGTTTTAACTGCAGTGTTTTGTAGGAATGCCTAGAAAGCCAGTGGCATTTGAAGTACTATAAGATTAGGAAATGTAGGAGGAAATAACTTCATAATATAAAGTTTTTCATTTGTTCTAATTTTCAGATACTAGCAAAGCAAGTATCATGAGATGTATCACGAATTTGCTGTGTCAACAATGTTTTAAAGACACGAGTGAAACAAATGAAATAATGGAAAGCAAGCCGTATCAGCCACACCATCTTTCTTCATAACTTTTCATAATCCTTTTCAAGATTACTGTTCAAAAGATAACTATTTGCAATGGGCAAATTGCATGAGACACAGTAAGCATACAGAGTCCACAAAAGGAAAATGCCTGTTTCCCAATAACTATTTCTGCAATGAATGAAGCAGCACAAATCTTTCCACTTTCAATAACTCATTTGCATGAATTTACTTTTTGCCTTAAGAGGTTGTTGTAATGTGTGTTAAAACACACAGTGCAATTTTAACTCCATAATATCATGAAAGAAATACTGTATTAGTATAAAGTGTAAAAATACGAATGCAGTTAAATGCCTTCAAGAGAAAGAACAGTGCAGCACTGCTCAAAAGCACCACCCAAAGGTAGAAGTGATGTAAAGACACAGAATTGTCGGGGGTTTTCCTTTTGTTGTTTTTTGGTTTGTTGTTTTGTTTGAGGGTTTTTTGTTGGTTTGTTGTGGGTTTTTTTTTTTTGCCAATTTCAGCAAAATCTGAATGTAAAAAATGACAGTGCAGTGAAACTTGACAGAGACTTTTGATTGAAGTCACTGATTTCCACAGCTGCACCTGTAGGAAATTTATGATAATGCTGTCTAAACCATTCATTATGATTTGGAACTTTAAACAAATGAGTACTAGATTTATAAATTTGCTAGATGTGCTGTAGATAATATGACAAAGTACTGTTTTCAATTGAAAATTCCTTTGACCTAATTTTATAAAACTCATACAAAATGGGAAAAAGAATGTATTTCTGAAACAGCTGAAGTTGTATTTTTTTAACTGTATGAAAGCGACATATATTCATTGGACAAATTCAGCTGTCAATTGTATTCCTAAATGTTCTTTATTAGAATTATAAAGGTGATAAGACTTTTCCATATTAACAACAATCAGTTGCTTCTTAGACAAACACCATTTCTCTTTCTGCTAATCATACTCCCAATATTTCTTAAGGCTGAAAAAAGCAACAACTTATCATTTCAAAAATATGTAAGGATAAACTTTGAGTATAAACCAATAAATGCTAATCATTAACTGCTAACTGGTAATATAATTTTATGGAATAATCATTTTAACAGCCTATTAGCTAGATACTTTTGATGATAGGAATCTGATGCATTCTTGTTCAAAATAGTGCATTACCCTCACATAAAGCAAATTACTATATTATTCCTTTAACTTTTGCAAAAAGGCTCTAGATAGGAGGAAGTATAACACTTCCATATATCTTCCAGGTTTAAGTAGGTTAATTTGCTGGGGAAAGGTTTTGCCTTTTTTTACTGACATTCACTGCTCACAAAGAAAAGTTGAAAAATTGTGAAGCAAGAGATACACTGAAACACCAACTCACTGGAACACAGATCAAGTACTAGAAATATTAGGAAAAGACAGCACTTGGCACAGAATACAGATCTCTCACCTGCAGTCATAGTTACATAAGTACCTTCAACACAAACATCTTTCTTACTAGAGCTGCCTTTGTCTGCCTAAGTTATTAAAACCTAAAACATCCAGAACGGTTATTTATGAATGCAGAAAGGATGCAATACAGAGTTTTCTCTGCATATGTCTTTGCAAAAGTACAAAAATAAGACAGTCGACAAAACTCCCTCATCCAAGAAACAAGACTTGTAGTAATCCTTTCCTCGTAAGTAAGACTACACTGTGATTTTACCACCAATTAGATAATTTCTTCTTGTTTCTTAGTTCTCCCTGTTGAGGAAACCAGGAATATAGCTAGTTACTAGGATAGACACAACACTGCATATCAAAATTGGGTTTACACAAATATGTTGTAACATAAATCATTTTTCAGCCTGGAAAGTGTACTGAGTTATGTGAAATCCTCAAAGGATTCTCCAGCATCTCCTTTTTCTTTAAATCTCCACACATTTCTGCAAAGCAAACTTAGAGAGGGTTTTTAAAGAATACCTGCAATAGTGAGATATACAGTCCTGGTACTTCCAATTTTATGAACCCTGCAAGTGGGAATAGGCTTCTTTTTGCTTAAGGAACTTACTGTTTCTCAATAGAAATCACCCTATAAGGCAGGGCATGTCCCACAGGATGAGAGGAAAGCTAAGGCTGCAGAACAGCATCTACAACAGTGTTGTACAGGCTCACAGGCGGGCCTTATTGCAGAGACACTTAGAGGCCCCTTTGCCTTTCCCCTCAGTAGGAGCCAATGTCAGACTTCAAAAAGACCTTTAACTGTGTAAGTGGGGAAGCATCCAATAGCAACCCAAGCTCTTTCTATGAAAAAAAATTGCAGGTGATAGGAGAGACCTTCAACTACTGCAGTAAGCCTTTCCCACCTATGTATATGTTGCAGGAGGAGGCAAATAGCTGGTTATCACCTTCCAGACAGCAACATTCAATTGTTACTGCTCTTTCTCCCTCCCTCTCTCCTCTATGGATCAAGTGAACAGATAAAGATTTCCTCATATTTCATAATAAGATGCCATGGGTTTAGATCAGAAAAGCTTTACAAACTGTATGAGTGCTATTTACAGGAAAAGGTGCAGAGAAGATTTCACACCTCCCCACAATAGGTTTTGATTCTTTTCACAAGAATCAAAAGGTTCCCTAGCAGGTGTTTGGATACTGTATTTAAAGCATTAATAATTCTATAAAAGGTAGTAAATTACAGTTTGAAACAAGTATATATATAAATATATATATACACGTATGATCTACATACAAGTTTGCCCTCCACATTAGTCTGATCATCTGATCGCAGCAGTTCATTAGAGGAACATGGATTACTCTTCAGCAGCCAGCAGACACCTCTCCCATACACTCACTTTTCCTCACTTGTTAACAACTTTGTACAGTAAGATCACTTTCTTATAAGTCATCATTAAGGAAACACCTAGGACAATGACCCCATCCAGTATGTAGCAATTTCAGCCATTAGGAAAACAAAGGCAATCAGTAACAAAATCACCTGCTATTTTCAGCTAAGCACAACAGGAAATTACAAAATGAAACTGTTCGTATAGAAATTTCAGCCAAACCTCAAGGATCCTCAGAATTGTGGTGAGTTGGTAAGCTTTTTGGGATAAAGAAGTCACATTCCCTGTTCGAATTACTCAAGAAGTCCAAATCCCCATAGGGTTTTAAGGAGGCATTCACTGCAGTTCACTCACTTGCAGCATATCGTTTAGAAAAGGTTTTTTTGCCACTATTAACAGAATTGTTCAATCTCAGACTACTTAATGGTTGGAGTTCCACTGCAATTTGTTTATTAAAAATTAGCTTAAAAATTCTTCTTTCTGGTTTTGATTCTACCAGTGGTTGTTAGACCAGCTCCTCTTGTTTGCCCTTTCCCTTTCTGATTGACTCTCTTTAATTCATATGCTTTTCATTAGAAGTCAGACCAAACAGGAACTATGCATCCAACTTGATGGTGCTGATTCAAACCGACTTTGATTCCAGACTTCCATGAGGGATGCTTTCAGTACTCCTATAGGATTTGACTAACAACTTCCGACAAACTCAGATTTAGCATCTGGGAGTTCATTATCTACACCAACATATGAGCAGAAGCAAGAGCTGGATTTAACACCCTTGTCTTTATCTCTGAAACACTCAGGTATGTCTAGCAGAAATAATTGAGACAGGAGCTCATAATAGCAGAACGTGTGAGCAGATGAGTTAAAAAGGTTCTCTGGCCTCCCTCATGACTTCCTCTGTGATGGACCTTAGACAGTAGGGAGAACATACAGGTATCCTGTTCCTTAGTTCACAAGTGTCTGATTTGGCATCTCAGTCTTTGCCTTTTCAAATACATCAGTGTTGGCACTTGACACTGGTACAGGCCTTGTGGTGTTCAGCTTGGGGATCAGCGGTTATTGCTCAGATCTCCTTTAAGTTATTCATTTGTTCTTAACAAGTTTGAGAAATCAGAATACCCAAGACGGAATCATCCACAGTACTTAAAGATATGTATGAAATGTTATTAGATGCTTGATGAGAATTACTAAAGTTAATACAGGTAGTAGATATATTTTAAATAAGTGTCAGGAATAAAGCATTTTCAAGTCCTGAAATAATGGAAACTTTAAATCTTTACTCTCTACTTGGGACACGGTATTCTTATATCATTGCAAAATGAGATGGCTGGGTAGCAGTATTACACCAGAGCACACTTTCATCATCAGTATTCAACACTTAATGATTGGTGATGGAGCAAAGCATGGGGAGAAGGTTGTATCATCAGCCCTCCAACAGGTGAGGAAAGCGGGATGAAGACCTGTGGTTTTGTTATCATTCGTACCCTCCATACACCTGCAAGAATACAGGTAGAAAGAAAGAACTCCAAACTGGCTTTTAATGACAAAACTCCAAAAGCCTCCTCAATACTCCAATGACTCTACCAGCCCTGATAATCTTAAACAGAGCTCATGTACCCCAAGAACCTATCAAGAAAAGACGCACAAATAAAATGCAAAAGGTAGAGAGACAGAAAAGAGGAAGAAAAAGCAGAAGGAAAGTTGCACCTCAGTATTAAAAAAAGAGCTACTTCAGAGGAAGAGATTCTCACCCTTTCAAAAATCATGTACTCAGGGGCAGACAAGAATTAAGAAAATTCCACTAAACTGAGTCCAAAACGATTCATAAGCCAGAGCTGAGATGCTGAAAAGTAATAGCTACAAATTGATCTAGATTTCTCCCACTTTTCATGCAAGCTTTTATTTATCACTATTTCAAAATTACATTTTCTGTGAATTGCTTTTGCAAACTGGTGATATTCCAATTTACAAAACAAATTTTACAAAATGAGATTATTATCTATTCTAATTATATCGATTCTTACTCCTTTACACTGATCTTTTTTCAAAATACAATTAAAACGTATTTGGTTAAATGGACAGAATGTTTTTTCTTCTGGATGTCTGTAAACATGACAAAAAATAAATATGAGGCTAAGAATATCTTTTCTATTAGCAATTATATCCCTTTTACATAATTTTAAAATTACAAAACCTAGAATATTATGAAATAGATAAAAATTGCAGAAGCTGTATTAGCAAACAGATAATTCCAGAATAGGTTAAATTTTTTGTTATATGCATCTTATTTTACCAAAGTGTCACATGTTCACAATGTTTTCCCCTATTTACTGACATTAAATCACTTTAAGGGGTAGGGAGTGGAAGGGGTGTGAAAAGGTTAACCACTACCATGTATGTGCTAGGAGGTAGCAACAAGCAAATAGTCTCCAGTCATCTAAGAGGACCAACACTCACATTGCTATTAATAAATATCCTTAAATGGATCACACACTCCATACCCTCAGGTCCTGTTTACTGGAAAAAAACATTGCATGCACTATAGCTTGAGAAAAACAAAACAATGCTATACCTTCAATCTGCACTACCATTACTATATTGTAGATTGAAAGACTCAAGATTTCTGATTTATTTAAACCTGTAACTTGGAAAATCCATTGGCTCTCCTTGAACTAAAAGCTGTGGATCTGCCCTTTTCTCCTTTGTACTTTCAACATAATAGGTATTATTACCCATAACTTTTTATTTAAAAGAATTGTGCAGCCAGGAAAATGAATGAATTTAATTATCAATGCAGTGTGAAAAAAATCATTAGAGCAAGAGCCTGGAACACTAGGTATTAACAATAAACAAAGGCTATTAAGAACAGTTTTAAAAAGTGTCATTCTTCCTTCAATTCTTAAAATGTAAATAATACAAACACAGAAACAAGAAAATCATATGTAAACATCTGTAGTTATTGGCAAAAGATGACCCTAAGAAAATGCTAAATGACTGACTGGATCATTTAACTTTAAATCTATACTTTATGTGGCAATATAGAGAGGTCATTTGATTGCTATGCATAAAAAATTTAGAATTCTAATATGATCTAAAAGTTTCACCTTCATAAGACAAAATTTTCATTATAAAATCGTATTTAATGGTATTCATACATATCTGCCACCTCAGTTTTGTAATATTATATTTCTATAAGCTGTCGACTACGCATTACAGAAATTACTATAGAAAAAGTTCTATAAGAGTAGAACTTTTTTCCTTTATACTTTACAGATTCTCCAGTTTCCCTTATAGCTGCATAATGAAAACATGTGGCCTCCTGAACACAAACTGCAAGTTGGTGCAGCTAAGAATTTCATCAGCTAGGATTTTGCAGCTGTATTTTCTGGGCAAAAAGGTATTTTCAGCCATACTCTTCAGGCTCAATTCTCTGCATATGGACATTTATACCAAGTCATGATTCAGCCTTTGAGGATTTGGAAAGAGATTTTTTTTATTTTTCATCTTATGATTTCACATAAATTAATGAATAATCTGGGCCTAATTTTTCCTCCCCAGCAGCATAGAAAGCCTTCTAAATACTCAAGGGAACGATTTAGACAAGAGTTGTGGCTACTGAAAATTTATGTCGTCAAAAGAAGAAAGTACATTAAATATGTACTGTTGCTGTAAAAAGGCAGGCCAAAATCCTAACTTCAGATATATGGGAGCAGTTTCTACTGAAGTTTACAAATGTGCTTCCAAACGTAACTTGGCCTTGCTGATTAAACTTATTTACTGAAGTCCTGACTCAGGGCTGCTTTTCAAAGTGTGCTTATTTACTTCATTGTTTGGTATAAAAAAACATGTACTTCTCTGCCACTTATTTAATTTCAAAAAATACCATTGGACAGCATAGCTACACACCCACTAGGAACAGCCGGTTGTTAACTGGGTTGGGAAGGAATCATCGCAAGTGGAGCTGAATGAGGTAGTACAGTGGATAGGAAACAGTCATGGAAGAGAATAAGTAAGGGTAGAACATACTAAATGAAAAAAGAGTCTTATAGAAAGTCGAAGCAAGGACAGGCGGCCTCGGAAGACTACAGGGATGTTGTCCAGGAAGCTAGGGACCAGGTTACGAAAGCTAAGGCTCAGTTAGAATTAAACTTAGCTAGGGATGTTAAGGGTAACAAGAAGGGATTATACAGGTACATAGCAAATAAAAAAACAGACTAGGGAGAACATAGGCCCCCTCAGGAAGCTCTCGGGAGAGCTAGCTAGACAGGATTTGGAGAACGCTGAGGTTCTGAATGACTTCTTTACCTCAGTCTTCACTGGCAAAGGCTTTGACCGCACCACCCAAGACTTGGAAGGCAGAGGCAGGGACTGTGAGAATGAAGACCTTGGGTCCACTGTAGGAGAGGATCTGGTTCGAGATCATCTTAAAAAATCTGAACGTGCACAAGCCCACGGGACCTGATGAAATCCATCCGCGGGTCCTGAAGGAGATGGCGAATGAACTTGCTAAGCCGCTGTCCATCGTATTTGAAAAATCATGGCAGTCAGGCAAAGTTCCCAACAACTGGAAAAATGGAAATATAACCCACATTTTCAAGAAGGGGAAAATGGATGACCCAGGGAACTACAGAGCAGTCAGTCTCTGTGCCTGGCAAAATCGTGGAGCAGATTCTTGTGGAAGGCATGCTAAGGCACATGAAAAACAACAAGGTGCTTGGTGACAGCCAGCATGGATTCACTAAGGGGCAATCCTGCCTGACCAATTTGGTGGCCTTCTATGATGGGGCTACAGAACTGATGGACAGCGGTAGAGCAGTCGATGTCATCTACATGGACTTGTGCAAAGCGTTCAACACTGTCCCACACAACATCCTTGTCTCTAAATTGGAGAGACATCAGTGTGATGGATGGACCACTCGGTGGATAAAGAACTGGCTGGATGGCCACATGTAAAGGGTTGTGGTCAATGGCTCAATGTCCAGAGAGACCAGCAACAAGTGGTGTCCCTCAGGGATCTGTGTTGGGACTGGTCTTGTTTAACATCTTCGTCGCTGATATGGACAGTGGGATTGAGTGCACCCTCAGCAGGTTTGCCGATGACACCAAGCTGTGTGGCTCGGTTGATACGCTGGAGGGAAGGAATGCCATCCAGAGGGACCTTGACACGCTTGTGAGGTGGGCTGATGCCAACCTCATGAAGTTTAACCATGCCACGTGCAAGGTCCTACACCTGCGTCGGAGCAATCCCAGGCACAGCTACAGGCTGGGCAGAGAAGAGATTCAGAGCAGCCCTGCGGAGAAGGACTTGGGGGTGCTGGTCGATGAGAAAACGAACATGAGCCAGCTTCAGTGTGCGCTTGCAGCCCAGAAAGCCAACTGTATCCTGGGCTGCATCAAAAGGAGTGTGACCAGCAGGACGAAGGAGGTGATCCTGCCCCTTTATTCTGTTCTCGTGAGACCTCACTTGGAGTATTGTGTGCAGTTCTGGTGTCCTCAACATAAAAAGAGCATGGAACTGTTAGAACAAGTCCAGAAAAGGGCCACGAAGATGATCAGGGGACTGCAGCACCTCCCATATGAAGATCGGCTGAGAAAGTTGGGGCTGTTCAGCCTGGAGAAAAGAAGGCTGGGTGGAGACCTATAGCAGCCTTCTAGTATCTGAAGGGGGCCTATAGGGATGCTGGGGATGGACTCTTCATTAGGGACTGTAGTGGTAGGACAAGGGGTAATGGGTTAAAACTTAAACAGGAGAAGTTTAGATTGGATATAAGGAAGAAATTCTTTCCTGTTACGGTGGTGAGGCACTGGAACAGGCTTTCCAGGGAGGTTGTGAATGCTCCATCCCTAGCAGTGTTCAAGGCCAGGTTGGATGAGGCCTTGGGTGATACGGCTTAGAGCGAGGTGTCCCTGCCCATGGCAAGGGGGTTGGAACTCTATGATCTTAAGGTCCTTTCCAATCCTAAGTATTCTATGATTCTATGATCCTATACCAAACAGAACATATCAAAGATCAGTTTTGATATTCTCATGTATAAGTGGTCTGGAAGCAATCATTATTTCAAAACTGGAATATTTATGTTGATGTTTTAACAACAACAACAACAAAGTATCGTATATAAAGAGCAATTAGAAAATCATACAGTTTATAAAACTACTTACTGTGTTAAGTTCAATAGTGGTTAAGATAGGGTTTCTTTTTGTGGTGGTGCTCTTTATAATTAAGTCATGCAACATTCTGTAATGTTTCCCAGCCTTAGGCTTTATTCTTCAAGACATTTCAGACTCTTTAACTTTACTACTGGGAATATTCCCTATTGATTTCAAAGGGATTACTTGTAGAAGTAACTACAAGGAGAAGTATTTGTAGTAATGGAGTTTCAGACATCTTTTCCCACCCTTTTCCACTGGAGACATCAGAAGGGAATCTAGAATTTGAGAGACATTATGCTAGAAGGCTAAAAACTTACAAAGAACAAAAATTGAAAGTGAGCCATA